GAGGCGATAAGAGGATAGGAATTGCTCTTCTGGGAACACAGGAGCAGGATTGCATTGGTTTTATATGATTTAGACTTGTTCATGGAGGAGTGAGTGTGTCTCTCTAAATAAAGTGTGCGTTTCAAACACATTGTTGCTCTATCTTTAGTTGGTATTCCATGCGAGTTTCTCCTCTTGGTCTCAATCTCATACCACATCTATCTTACCTGCCAATCTCCCCCTTTGCTCGTCCTTTTTTTCCTCCTGTTTTGTTCTCATCTCCTTTTGTTCCTCTTTGTCTTTATTTCTTCCTCTAACCTGTATCACTCCATCACCCCTACATCTCCCTCTCTCATGTTCTTTCTCCTTCGTCTCCAAATTCTTTCATTCCATGCCTCCATCCCTCTTCTCTCTCCCTAGATGAAATATTTATGCCCATCCATACCGAAGCAGCAGCAGCAGCAGCAGCAGCCAGTGCCACAGGAGTCAATGCTTTCAAAGACTATGGGCCTCTGAGCTCAGGGAGAAAGAGAGAGGGAGCTGAAAGAGGAAGGTGGCGGGGGAGGAAGAGAGAGAGAGAGAGAGAGAGAGAGAGTAGGCAGGGGAAAAACAGGCGAGGAGGTGAAGACAGAAAAGAGCAGGTGAGAGAGAGAGGGATAGAGACAGGAGCTGTGACAGAGGGAGAAAAAAGAAGAGACGGAGGAGGAGGATGAGTGAAAGGACCGAGGAGCTCTCTCCATCACATCAAACACTATGCGGCGCATGATGAAACGCTTCTTATGCATTTTACACACACACACACGCACACACACACACACACTGTAAACAGAAGCTGTAGGTTAAACACAAAGAGAGAGAAAACCACAGAGAGATGCAGCGCCTGAAGAACTTCAAACACTGCCTGACACACGTTTAAACATTTCGCTGTCTTTCTATTCCACACTCGTTCAATCCTTAAAAAAAATAAAAAAAAGTCTAGCGCCCTTGGGTCCTCATAAGGCCACTTAAGCAGTTTTTACAACCAGGCACACATAAGACATAAGAAGTCATTTTACACGTACAGGACAGAACAAAACATACATGCACGCATTAGCAATGCAGCTAATGCGAGTGCACACAAACACACATCATCTGACAGTCATCCTGCCGCTCTCCCTTCATGTAATGTGTCACTACTGATTTGGAATTCACTTTCTCTTATTATCCTGAGTTTGCACAACAGAGTCGCCGCCTGCCCGCCCGCCCGCCCGCCCGCCCGCCCGCCCGACGGATGAAGCACAAACGCACTCCAATTAGGTGTCAAATTCTGGGTTGTTTCCAAGCAACCTACATTAAGCTGTGACTGCTGCGAGGGAAACTGGGCTTCAAAGACGGATGATGTGGCTGTTTGAGTGTTTGAGTGTGTTTTATAGTGTGTGTGAAGGGAATAAAGATGGGAGAGAGGCTATAAGGAAATTGAGAGCAACACCGACTTTAAATATTTTGTTTCATTAGATTTAGTCAGTTTGTAGCAGCAGTAGTGGTTAGTGCTTCATGTATGAAGGCAATAGTCCTCCAGGCAGGAGGCCCGGGTTCAAATCCGACCTGTGGCTCATTTCCCGAGTGTCATTCCCTACTCTCTCTCCCTGATTTCTGTCTTTATACACGGTCCTATTTCTACAATAAAAGGCAGAAAAAGCCCAAAAATAAATCTTGAAGAACAACTCAAGAGAAGAGTTAAAAAAGTGAAATGTTTGATGTCATAAGGTGGATATTATTTTTGACTCTTCAACTGAGCAGTGCCGTTTTTCTCCATCACTGTGACCACAGGGAGACACTGTCGAGGCTTATCTACGGTGCGACTAAAGGGACAAAACAGCATGGGAATAATCGCAATTTAAAAAAAAAAGAATGCCTTTATTTTTAGACCTTAATTAATTGTGATTAACTAGTTAATGCTGACAGGCCTAATAAACACATCATGGTTGCGTAATATTTTCAGGAACACAGCAATGTGTGTGAGGCCAATATATTATCTATCATCCCCCCCCCCTCCATAAATAGGTCTGAAGCTGTTTAACACAACTGTGCTAGAATAATCATGAGTTAGCATGTAGCCCAAAGCAACCCTTGTAACTGAGCCAAGTCAAACAGAGCAGCCGGTGTATATATATAAATGTATTCAAAACGCTGCTTCACCTCCAAATACATTCTCAGGCACTTTATACCTTTGGCATATAAAAATGTGTTGATAAATGGCCCCGATTAAACACGGTTCCAGTTACATAACTTTAATATTAAACTGCAAGGACGTCCTCTTCACAATTGATAAGGATTGATTTCCCTTGTCTAGGCATTCTGAATTTTCCAGATTGACTCAGCACGGCTTCATCTGTGTGTTTGTTGTTGTTTCATTTGTGACATTTAACAATTTGTTTGCATGTAATGAAATAGTCTCAGAAGCCGCACACTACCACAGGAGACTGCTGCAGGTTGGAAAAACAACAGCGTAATCTGCTGGGACCTGCTTCACCATGCATAATGCATTCTCTCTCGCTCTCTCCCAGAGCAAAGTCAGCTAATTAATAGAAACATAGCTGGATAATTAGCCGTGTGTGAGAGAAACGTTTTACAACCCTCGGAGGGAAGAAGACACTGAAAGTCAGAGAGACGTATTTTAAATATTTAAAGTCATGGCAGGAGAAGTAATATAGGGGATGTTATGAGGTAGAAAAGAAGAGACAGACATATAGCCTATACACCTGCAATAAAGAGATGAATATTTGATTTAATCTGGGCTCCTCTGACTCTGTAATTTGATGCGTGTGTGTGCACACGAATGTGCTGCCAGTATAAAACAGTTTATAAGAGATGTAGACAGCTGTTCTTAACATTCTTTTCATGCGGAGTCAGAAAACCATTATGTTTGCTAAAAAAAGAGACTCTAGGAAATCACAAAATTAACTGAAAATTAGTTTCCTGTAGAATTAAAAACCAGAAAAAGAATTAGTTAGGATACAAAATGTGGAGACGAGGGTGGCTATACAATATTTGATGAATTAAAGCAGAAAGAAGGACAGAATTCAAATCAGGGCAACCGACTCTTAGCTATAGACAGCAGATAGTTAGCTAGTTGAGCTTAGCATAAAGGCTAAAAGCGCCAAGATGGCTCTGTACGACAGGCGGTTTGTATACATTTTCCCAGTTTGCTAACCTCTAGGAGTTTATTCTAGTTTAGCCACTTTATGTGTAACACATGAAATTCAGTTATAGCCTGATAAGTTTATCACAATCAGCAGCTAGCCAAATATAGGCCTTTAAGTGTTTATGCATTATTTTGGATTGATTAGCCCTAATGCTGTCAATGTGGTCATATGAGATAAAATACCCGTTAGCCATTTTTTAATACTACATATTTGTAGCAGCTGCTATAAAATTAGCTTAGTTCATTTTTAAAAGGGGCAACACATGAGTTCAGTGCTATAATGAGATGTTATCGCCAACCCTTCATTGATTCTGGCCCATTTAGATCATTTGGAAACTAAAATGTCATTCCCTCCCTCTAGACCGCGGGTCATAAAGACACAGGTCACCTCAACCACAACATGAAGGTCCTCTTCCTTCTATTTACATTGCAGTTACCACATGATAACACACATGCATGCAATCATCCTGGGAAAGAACCAAGTAAAAACTCTGAATATCTAGTTCATTAACAGAGGAAGAGGAGCGGGACAGGGAGACAGAAGGAAAAAAAGCCTTGAATGGAAAGAGATGTAAGTGATTCCTCCGGCCTGCTGGCCCACACAGGGAATATGGGAGCAGCAAGTTGTTCAATAATGTATCGATTTTCTTCATAAGCTTTCCTTTCTTCAAGGATTTGGTGTTAATGATTATCTGACACTTTTCTTCTAAACCTGTTTAGTTTTCATGTCTATCTTCCCATTCACCTGTCAGACAATTTCAAATAGTCGAGTAGTTGTGATTGTAAATGCCTGTGAATGTTGACTAAATGAGAATAACTAAGTAATACAACAAAATATGATGCACGGTATGTATAAAGGCTAAATAATTAAGTGAAGTGCTTCCCTTCAGAAAAGCTTAAGTTGGGGTTTGAGTCACTGGTATTGGAAATTGTTCAATTGTTTTAACGAAGGAGAAAACCGGTGTTTAACTGGGTCCTGGTGTTAGTTTTATAGTAAGTTGCTGTTATGATGGTAACTGAGCTGCATTCACAACAAAATGTCAGGGTTGCATAATGCCGTTAGCATCTTTAACTGTTTTCAACCCTGCAATTTTTTTTTTTTTTTTTAAGTAAACAGCAGTTTGCCAAGCTATTTGAAAGGTTTGCTCATCCTAGCTACCAGTTACTCTGCATCAAAGTAAGATTCATTACACTGAAGATCTGTCATGGAGAAAGATAGCAAGCTAAGCAAAAGTAACGCAGCTTACTGCATTGATGTTCCTTGCCAAGGACTAATCTGTTCTGAAGCAGTTAATAATTTCCCGCTATGCTAATGGTGATGCTTAATGTGCCAAACACCGTAAAACGTAAAGTACCTGCTTAACACGTGGGCCTGTTAACATCTAGCTAAAGGAACCAATGTGTCTAAGTCTAGCTTCACAGAGTTGCTAGAATAAGTGAGGAGAAAACTGTCTTCCTGAGAACAATTCCATTCCAACAACTTTTCTATATATATGATGTCAGAAAGTGTTTCCTTTGCAACACGAAATGCTTTTGTGTGTATTCATTTTTAACTTAGTATGCAAGGCCTCTTCTACAGGTTTCAAATCCGAAATCTACCTTAATACAGCTGCCTTAGTGAGCAACCCAGTTACTTCAAAGGACACATTTGTATTCAGCTGGTGTTTTTCTTATTTGGTTCAATCCTGCATGTTGTAGAAGTGCAAGGCAACGATCAGAAGACGTTTCATCATGATCACGTTTGAAGGGTTGGCAGGGCTTCATGGTTTGTTTGGATTTTAAATGTCTCTCTCTCTCTCTCTTCTGTCTCTGTATTGTTTCCTCTCTCTCCTCCAGCATGATAAGACTGAAGCCGGGCCGATCCACTCGCTCCATCTATCTGGTTCTGGCGGGTCTGTCCCTCGCTCTCCACCTCCTTCTGGCAATTTTTTGTCTCTCTGTCCTCCAGACAGCCTGCATCCTTCCCAACTCCTCCACCATTAAAAGAACCGATGATCAGTCTATCTCCCACTCCTCCTCTTCGTCAGCTGCCTCTTCTTCACACAAACTACCCACAATCCCCCAGAATGAAGAGAATCACAAGCTGATTGCCAAAGCTCTGCACCCTAAAGAGAAGTACTCATTCGTCAACGCCAATGAAAAGAAACTAACTGCACCAGGAAAAGGGATTCAAAAGGTCAAAGGCCGTTCTAAACTGGAGGCGCTGTTCAAGCACCCGTTGTATAACCTGCCACGCCCTGAGCTGCAAGAAGCTGATTGGCTGCTACGGCTTAAAACAAATGAACATGCAGAAGATTCAGAAAGTGAGGAAGAGAGGGAAGACGCCATCAATAGTGATAGCGAGTGGTGAGTGAAACTGCTGGAGAAAATATATAAATCATTCAAATGTCCACTAGATTATACATAACTATGGCTTCTATATTCATGTTATTAATGTGGCTGTGGGGTTTGAGAGCCAAAATAACTTTGTTTGAAGTTACTTAACTAATTATATAATTAGCCTCTATTTCAGCGAGCTCTCTGGCCAATGTTATCTTGTTTTTGTTGTTTCTTATTCCGACCACATTTTCACTAAAGGTAGCTACTACGGTCACCATGGTTGCAACTTCATCATTTTGTGGCACCATCAAATTAGGTCACCATTTGAAAGAATATATGCTAAAACCCATCTGCATAGTTCTATTTTTTCACCCATAGAGTAAGCTGTATGGGTGACTCTCTGAACAGTGTGACTCCCATTAATACTCTACTCGCCCTCCTGCAGGGAGAGTTCCAGTCAGGAGGAAGGCTACGACAAACTCAATTGGACGAACGACGTGGAGACCCACCCTCCTTGGCTGAGGTTCCACCTGGGCATCTCTCGCTGGGAGCTGTACAACAGGAAGGACCCCAACCTGGCCCAGCTGACTCACTATCTGGCAACAAAGCAAATCCTCCGTGCTGGTAAGCCAATGAGAGGAGGGGGGGGCAGGATCAAAGGGGGAGGGGACAGAAACAGAGAGGACAGGCCCCGGGAAAGGAACCAGATAGAAGGGAGAGGTGTTAGAGGAAGGTGAAAGATTAATTTATTACTCTGCCTTTTATCTTCTGCAAAAAAAAAAAAAAAAGATCCTGAAGTGTCAGCCGGACACGAGTACTTTACATTTGAAAGCTAAATTGTGCAACTATCCTGGTTTGTTATAGTTCTGTCCGTTAGTTTTGTCTCATGGGGTTCAAGGCCACACAGATAAAACACAATACTTAATCCCAGATCATAATACTGCACAAAAAAAACTAAAACCAGAAACTGCCCAGATATTTAGCCTGACTTGTCCTTATAGTGCTCACGCTTTCTTGTTTTCTGATTCTCCCTCTCTGACACATTTCAGAAGCCACAAACATGCAGCTCACTCAAACTCTAATCTCTTTATACAAACAAGTCGCTCTGTAAGAGAGCCAGAGGCAACACAGAGTATTCACTCAAGTTTTCTCTCAGTGAATACAGTAAACCGTGCCAAAGTTCATTTTTAGAACAGAGGAGGGTACGTACTGAGACAGGCATCCACACAAAGTCACACATTTAGGATGAAATGTCTTCATGTACACATACTGTAGCTTAGACTCACACTGATGTATGAAAATAGTGACTATTGAAAACAAATTCATACAATAAAAGAGTAAAGGCTGGATGATTCAGCTCTCTGTTGATTAGCCATATTGGTCTTAGACTTCTTGTTTTGGGTGGAGGGAAAGAAAACATTGATGATGCAGGTACGAACGGGCATACACTCATTGTTGACTGTTTATGAATGAGTGAAAAAATTTGTTTAAAGGTTGACACAAATACGAACATTTGCACTACTGAACTTATTATTTTGGGTTATATTTAATTTACTATTATGATAGTTTTATCACAAATGTTAGACACATTTTAAATAGCTATTTCAGGCAACTCTACTGCGTCTGTAATTGTTGTTGTTCATCTCCCTGTCTGTCTGTCCATGTATCCATTTGTCTGTGTGTATCTGTCTCACTGTCTGTCTCCACATACATCTCTTTCACACCCTGTCTGTCTATCTCCTATCTGCATGTTTTCCTGTCTGTCTTCTTGTCCTTCAATCCGTCTCTCTGTCTGTTTACCTATCCGTCCATCCTTTCTGGCTCTCTCTCAGCTGATTCATTCAAGCTATATGGCTGCTCATTGTTCATCATCAGGTCTGCTTCTGCTGCAGGTTCCTTTATGTTGAGAGAAACTTTTTGCTCTCTTGTCAAGTGTTTACTCATTAGTAGATATATGTTGGTTCCCTCAAAATGTTTACAGTCTGGACCTGCTCTGTATATAAAGTATCACAAATAACTTACACCAACAACAGCCGCTAACAAAATCCTGAATCTAATGTACCGTTGATGTCAGTACTATCAAGATTATGAAAAGAAAAGGCAGGTATGTTATATCACAGAAAACCTAATGTCTTAAATCTGCAGCTCACATTATTTTTGTGATAAGGTCATAGATATAATCCTACTGAACTTTTAAAATCCATTAAACCCCACACCGCACAGAAACAAAGCAGCATGAACACAACGTCCCAGCATCCACACATGCAAATGTTCTTTTTGTGTTTTCTCCTCTCAGACACCGTGCCTGTGTTCAGCACATTGCAGGATGAATAATGCAGCGAGATTTGTGTTATACACCGCAGATTAAAAGCTTCTCACAGCTACAGACTGATTTGTTTTTGATGCTTTCGTCCTTTTTTTCCTTCACATTTAAACCTCAATTACAGTGTAAATATCTTTTAAATTATTTAGCGCAGAGGATAAATAAATTGCTTTATAAAACGAGTGAGAAACAGGTGTGAAACAACCAGCAGTCTGTTGCTCTGAGTGTCTGGGACCTGAACATGTTCGTATCTTGTTGACTTGAAAGAACTAATGTTTTGATTCAGAGCCAGTTGTCTGAAGTGTGGGTGAGTCAGCTCATGTTTTGTTTTATGGACATAAGAATGTGTCTCATTGTGCAACTCACAGATGCATCGACAATGAATCAAAATTACAAACAAGCTTATGACACAGTTCTCGCTGCCTTCAGTGCTGCAAGAGTACAATTACTGCCAAACAATCAATACAGAGACATTCAGGATCTCAAAATGATTCATTATTATTTACATGAATAATGCATTATGGGGAGAATAAAACTGTTTCCATCAGGCCAATATTTGAAGTATTCCATCCACGTCCAAACTGGAAGAGCCGGCTGCAGTGCTGTATAATTATGTAAGCTGCCACCAAATGGAGAAACCGTTGTGATACACAGTATTACAGATTTATACAGTGCAGTTCTGGATTAACACCACAAATACGGCCGATATGTGTTTCTCATGATGACTTACTCTTCCCTTTATGCATGTCTTTCAGTTCAGAAGACAGGAGGTACGCAGCTCAAACTTCTCATTTCGTTCCCAAACTACGGAGAAGCTCTGCTGAAACCCATGAGGTAAGACCCCACTGTGACTGCCAACATATGACTGACTGATGAAAGTCGAGCCATCAGAGTGTTTTTGTTGTTCCTGTTCAACACTGATTTACGTAGAGAGGCTTCTTATAAAGCAACAAAGCAAAGCATTCTTCTTCTCTTACACATCGTAATAAAGTATAAAGGTGGTGGAGAAAAAATAAAAGCCTGGTATTGTGATATTAAGTTAGATAGTATTGTATACACAATTAATAGCATTTTTAGTAATGTTGCAGGTACCACAATAGTAAAAACATTCTTTCTCAATCCACTGGAGGATGCCATGCTTCATTCAAATGATATGATCAGATGAAAATATTTTAATTACATAACCTAAGAAACTGTGTTGATGTTTGTGTGTTTCTTTTTTTCCCCATATAGACAAGCTAGAGATGCGGAGACGGACGTGAACCTCTTCTACTTCTCAGATTTTGAAAGACACAACGCGGAGATCGCTGCCTTTCACCTTGACAGGTACAGAGTCAGTTGAATAAACTATTTTCACAAAGAAGCCATTTTCCTTGACATCATACTCAGGTTGGAAAACTGCTTTCTTTGTTCTGCTTTTTTTTTTATAAAGTGAATCTAACAACTGAAAACACAATGTGCATTGACAAAGCAGAGGGAAATGTGGTAATATTTGAAGTTAAAACAACCGATTTAGTGGCCTACCAGCAGAAAACAGCTAACATTACATTTAAACCACTTTCTAGCTAGCATTAGCCAGAAAGTGTAAAAACAACACAACAGGAAAGTAATCTACTCCAAGCTAAAAAAACAAAATATTTGAAAGGAATTTACTACCTAGCTGATCTAATATATTTAGATGCTAACATACTATCATTAGCCGTTTTCTAATGTTGGCTTGGGGTTATCAAATGTGTCCTTGTAGCAAATATGGTCCAATCTTTCAGATCTTCATGATCATTTTCCTTTTCAGTTGCTAATTTATCAATAAGTAGTGCAATCATTACTTTTACATTACCCTACACTTACATGGTGTACAACATTAAAGATAGAAGTCGTACCCTGAGCACATTGTCAAGGGAAAATGGCTGCTGTGTGAATATGGTGTATTCTGTGACGAAGCTGTTAGAACGCTTAGGTCAAAAAGGAAACAAGTAAAGAGTGAGTTAATAAGATATTAGAGGGCTGCTGTTACATTTTTCTACTTGTTTTTTTCTCACTCATTCCATCGGATGTTAATTCTTGCGGTTGCGTTCTGGTTTCCACTTTGGATTTTTATTCCCTTCTATCCCAGAGTGCTTGGCTTCAACAGGATACCTCCAGTGGTTGGTCGACTCATCAACGTCACCACAGAGATCAGAGAGATCACTACTGACAACAGGCTGTCCAGGTCATTCTTCACTTCCCCAGGTACACTTTCACAAAGTTAATCACCATACATTGATGTCTTCCAGAAAATGTCATGTGATCTTCCTTGTGAAGGACTCTCTCTGAATGCTCGTCCAGTTGTATCTTAGTGCTGAATTGACCACTGCATCCCGTTACAGAGACCAGACGTTGTAGTTGGCATTTTAAGAACTGTATTAAGCTGGTTTCATCAGATCAATTTCAGTTTGTTCATAACTATGATAGCTGCTCTTTAAAGTATAGAACACAATAAGGTTATTTTTGACGTTCTTCAATATATTAAATCAATTTCAAGCTATCTATCCAATTTTTTCTTGTGATTTAGTTGCCATGTACTTTCCTTTTTCTGTTCACAACTATTTAAGTGAAAAATATTTATGTAGAGCTTCTGTCTGTGTTAAGACAGTTTTTGAGTTTGTTGTATTGGTTATGTCATGTGTTTTGTTGTAGTGTGAGTATGAATGTTATGGATGTGTTTTTATGTATTCTAACTAATGAAATATTGCCAAAGATATGGAGACCCCAGGAAGAGTAGTTACTGTAATGGGGATCTTAAACAAACCAACAATACTGATGAGTATTTACAGTCTAGGTCTATTCTATATATGTGAAGTGTTCTGAGATATGTTTTCTTATGATTTGGTGTTCTATAAATAAAAAACAATTGATTGACACATTGACATTCACTGGTCATACGAACTAACCATCCGCTACTCTCAACCTGTCATCTCTCTGACTGCTTCCAGCTGGGAACATATGTTTCTATGGCCAGTGTGAGTACTACTGTTCATCAGAGCACCCAGTATGCGGCCAGCCCCATGCGCTGGAGGTTTCCCTGGCTGCCATGCTACCTGACCTCACCATAGCTCCTCGCAGGTCCTGGAGGTCACCATGGAGACGCGCCTACAGCCACAAAAAGCTAGCAAAGTAGGTAAACTATCAGTGCAGTGTCTTTTTGATTGTCATTACTAATTTTCAAATTATATGTATTAGTGATGAAAAATGAGTGATTTTCAAGATCAAATGAGTGCTTTTTTTATTGCATTGCATTACTGCTGTGTTTTTGTGAGTCATTAGTGACCTCCAGAGGTGTGGAGGGAGAACTGCAGCACAAAATATTTTTTGTCAGTGCAAACAATATTGATGACAACATAGAGACTTTATCGTTTGTGTATTAAGAAGCGTGCAATTAGAAGGCTGTTGGACAATTAGAAGACTATTTTCCAACATGTTAGTTGTGCATTTTATTTTTTTTAGCATGCATATTTGCAGGAGCTTAGGTTAATGTGACTCTGCTCTACTTCTGTTGTGTCCAGGTGGGAGAAGGACGCTGCATACTGTGACACGGTGAAAAAGACACCTCCTTACAGCCACGGCACCAGACTGGTGGATCTCATAGATATGGCCATACTGGACTTCCTCATGAGTCAGTCTCTTTGTTTTAATGTCAACCCTGTAGTGAGTTTGTTTGCAGCTTAAAAGGCTTACAGGTCCGACCTCTAGTTAAAGGAAGAGTCACAGATACGAGAATTAAAAATAAAAAAACCACAAATCAGAGAATCTCTCTTGTTAAGGCATTGATTTGTTTCTCATTCAAAGGCAACATGGACAGACATCACTATGAGACCTTTGAAGAATTTGGCAATGATACTTTCCTGCTACACCTGGATAATGGACGGGCGTGAGTACTATCACTAATGTTGTCATTCTGTCACTGTTATCGTGGGAGCAACAGCATACCAAGTGTTTGACATGTCTCACTTCTATGTTTTGGACACTGAGGCAGCACAAATTATTTTGTTTTGACTGATAATGTCTTCCAGGTTTGGGCGCCACTCTCAGGATGAGCCATCTATTCTGGCTCCTTTGAAACAGTGTTGCAGGTAAAACAGAACTCAAAAGGCTAGTTGAGTGCACCTTAAAAAAAGGTCTGAAGAAATCAAACCTTCAAAAACTGTTCCAAGTTTTTAAGAGGGTATGCTCTTTTTGCATCAACATATTGACTCTCTGTACCTATGCTTGTAGGATCCGTCGCTCCACACTCCTCCGCTTGCGCCTCTTGTCCCTCACAAGCTTCCGTCTGAGCGATGTCATGCGGGACTCCCTTCCCCAGGACCCTCTAGCTGGTGTGGCCCCCCTGCTGTCTGAAGCACATCTCTCTGCTCTGGACCGCCGCCTCGCTGCAGTCCTGCAGGTGGTGCAGAGCTGTCAGGAGCAGCACACAGATTGATTTATAACGACTTGGAAGGATATGAACATGAATATGATCAACAGCTTGACTGAGGAATAAGCATACATTGTAGAGTATAAAGCTTATGCATGTGTGGGTTTTTGACCAACAAGAACAAATAGTTTTAAATTCACATCTTCACTTGCAGGTTTTGGATCAAAAAGATATAGGCATGTCCGTGTGAAAGAAATAATTTCTCTTCTTGTCTAGTGTAATCTGGAGAACTCAGACAGGTGGATCGAGTGCATATGTAACTTCTGGATTTCTGCGTTGTGTTGTGTGAATTGATGATGCTGTGGATTCTTATGATCACTTTTTATCTGGCAAAAGGAAAGCACAGACAAAATTCTGTTTCAACTTCCCAGTCCACTCCAGATCCTACACAGATTAAATAAAAGTGCTGTACGTTATGTATGCTAATTTAATGCACGTGCACGTTAACTATCTTAAATAGCTGTGCACGGCGAGCTAGGCTCCATGGCGAATAAAATAACATATTCAGGATATTTCAATTAAATCAATATACCAACAGCTAACAAAATACAATAAAACATTCTGGAGAACATAAATGTACACAAAATAAAACAATAATTCAAAGGATGGAAGGATCCATGAATGCACGATCCTTACAAGTTATACCTTGTTGTAAAGGTGACTAATAAGGCTTTCCAACCGTATATAATAACAATTAGCACCAATTACTATTATTAAAGGGGCGAAATTATTGACCGAAATAGCGTTTCCAAACTTTTTTTGAAAACTGGTGATAGATTTCATGAACATTGGGGGTGCTGTTCCTGTTTAAAGATCATATTGAAAGAAAAAGAGCAGCCTTCAATGTTACTCATTGAACTGGGACATGTTCACTTTGTACAGAATGACAAGAATGACGACTACATTTCATTCATTCAGTTTCAGGTTTATCATGAACTTTGATGTTATTTGATGTAGGAAGTAAGCCCAAGAAGAACTACAAATGTGTTGTTATTTTTTTTTTCTTTTAAGGACAAATAAACAATCAGAGTGGAAGAATAATCAATATATTTAAGTTGTTTTTTTTAATCAAGGAGCAATCTATTTGTGTGAGAAAGTTGACTTTGATCCTCTCTGCGTTGTTTATAAAGAAAGTAAACTTTAGAGGTGAGAGGAGACTGTAAAAACTTGTGTACAAAATGGTCGTGTAACATTCTATGGTTGCCATGGTTCCCCTTAAAGTGCATCATTCATATCAGATCATCATTTCAACTCAAACAAACTCTCAGACAGCCACAGAAAGTTGTTCTCAAGTTGAAATCAGCTATTTCCTCTGAAAATCACGCTCAAACTGCAGATTTTTTCCACCCTAAGAAGGACCAAAGATTTTCTTAAACTGACACGAGCCAAACATCCAACTTGTGTCATGGAAAATGTAAGATTTTCACTTTTTGACTCTCTGCTGTTTACTGTACAGTTTAAACTGTCTGAACTAGACTGCACCAGATTTCTTTTCATCCATTTATTGGAATATATTTAAAATAAATCTTTGAATACTTCAATAATATTTGAAATCTTTTCACATATTCAATAAATGTTTCATTAAAGAAAAGAAAATCCCATCAGACACAGCCATGAATGAAATGTAGCCATGAATAAAATGTGTGTTATAGATATTTGTTACAGTTTATAATTCCCAAACAGATAAGTGTCATTAGATAAGTGTCAGAAATACTATTGAGTGGACATTTCACTTCATTAGTTTCTTCTGGGGGATTTACTGTTCAGAAATAAAATGATTATATAACAAACATCAGGTGAAAACAGGAGCTCAGTACTGACATGTTTCAGACTCATCAGTCTCACTCTCTGCAGACTCACTCGTCTTTACAGTTTTTTTTTTTCTCATTTTAAACTGTAACATAATTGTTTCATACATTGGAGGGTTTTAGTAATTATGGGACTGTCATTTTTGTGTGTGCAGTTTACTTCTTACTTCTAAATCTTTGTCATGTTTATGGATCAATTTGTGTGTCCATTGTAAAAGCACAAATATGGACAAAATGGCCGAAATACTCACTGGTTGCTATGGTTACCCTCAAAGTGCATCATTTATATAAGATCATTTAAACATAAAAAAAACCTGAAAGAGTCACAAGAAGTATTTCACAAGTTTCACAGTAAAAAAACATTTATAAATTAAATAATTGATTGAGTTAATTTTCATCCTGACAAAAACTAAAGACTCAGAGATTTAAGAGAGCAACTTTACAAATGTTCATCATGAAAAATGTGAGATTTAATGTTTTAATGATCTGATCTGTTATGATGCAGACAGTCAAAACTTTACTGGATCATTTCTCTGTTCTGTTTACTAAATAAAATAAGTTAATTACAGTGATGCATCTTTAAGACACAGGCCCTATTTTCAAATCATTATTTTATAAAAACAAAATATAAATTTGTGCTCTAAAACATTCTTCATGAAGAATTGAGAAAAAATTAAAAATACTGAATGATGTCAACATCTGCAGCAGTTTGTGTCGCTGTAAAGCACATTGTAACGGAGTTTAGAAAGTAGCTTTGTATAGAAAGAGTGATTATTCTGAATGATTTATTTTAACATTATGTGTTAGATGAGTTCAAAAAGTCTTGTATTAACATTTGCAGAACATTATTAATGGTGACATCATGAAGTGTTGTTGTGCTGATTGACTGTATTTCTGAAGTGTTGTTCTGTGTCTGTGTTGTTACAGCGTGTTGTGCCCGTTCACCTGAAGGACCATGACTACTGTAAGACAGTGAGAGTCTCATCACGCCTGGCCGAGAGAAAGCCTCGAGCTTTCACTCGATGTTCGTGCTGCAGGAACAACCTGGTAAGACATTTGATTTTCATATTTGAGAAAATAATTTCCAACTTTCTCAAGTGTTAAAGTCAACTGCTAGAAAATTAGAACATTAAAAATTGCTCAGTGATCT